AATAAAAATAGACGAATGCCTAGATGTGTTTTAAATGATAAAATTTAATGTGTGAGCAATATTTATATTTTATGTAACGTTCGTTAAACTAGAGAGTAAACAAGAAAATGAAGAAGAAGAAGAAAATGAATTTGATAAAAATTAAATATGATAGACAAAATGAGATGAAGGGAGAGTATGAGTAGATGAGAGGGAGATGAAAAGAGAGAGAGAGGGATGAAAGATGAGAGATAGAGGGAGATAGCGGGAGACATAAAGATAAACACATAAGGACACAGAGGACTAATAAAATTATTGTGAGAAAAAAAGAATGAAATAAACAAAGAGGATCGAGATGAAGTTTCTCTCTCTTCATTTCGATAGAGAAGGGAGCGAGAAAGCCAACTATAGACTGCGAGAGAGAGAGAGAGAGAGAGAGAGAGAGAGAGAGAGAGAGGAAGATAGGTAGAGTGAAAGAAAAATAGTAAAGAGAGAGAGAGAGACGTGAGTAGAGAGAGATCCTGGCCATAGGGAGTTAAGAAGAGAGAGAGAGAGAAAACGTCACAGAGAGGGACAGAAAAAAGAACAGAAATAAGAGAGAGAGAGAGAATAGAAGAGCAAGCGAAAGATCCTAATCATTTAATGTAAGAGAGAGAGAGAGAAGATGGAAGGGTGAAAAAAGAAAACTGAAAACTATTTTTACCCTTCAATTCCATATTTCTGACCAGTAAATACACGGTCCAAGGGTCTTTGGAAATTCAATTAAACTATACACTCAATGAAAATCGCAAACTGCGAACAGAATCGAGTAATATACACTGTAATTTACAGCCATCTATAACAATCAATCATTCCGTTGGCAATATAACTTGCGCTATTTCTCTTGTCGCTTGTCTGTTGTCAGACAGAGCGGCATCATTAGGCTTGCAGCATTTCAGAATTTTGTTCGCAACTTTGGTTGTGCAACACTCTCAAACTAACTTTAAAACTTTCTAATAAAATAGCCCTAGACCGCCATAGCGCTACAAGACGCCGAAAGGTCCATTGTGGGCAGGACAACCAGGGCCACGATGACGATTCGCTTGCGACTCAGTCCTTCTGCAGCTAATGTCGTTGCTGGCGGCAGTATAAGCAACCAAAACCGCAACAGCAGCAGCAGCAGCAGCAGCAGCAGCAGCGGCAGAGGCGGTAGCAGCAGCAGCAGCGGCAAAGGCTACACTCCTGCTAGTGCAACAGACAATGATGCTGCATTAAACCCAACCTGCAGCACAGCACGAGACCCAAACAGCAGCTCCGTGCGCTCTCACTCACTCCCACTCGCACTCGCATACGCCAGCCAGGCACAGTCACTACACACGCAACAGACTTAAATGCAGTTTCCCGTTACAAGAGAGCACAACAGAGAAAAAGCTTTTTATACTGGCGTTGCTGTTTCTCTTTCGTTTTTGCCTTCGTCTTTGCCTTTGCCTTTGCTTAACGCTCGGCGCTCAGTTGTTCGTTTCCACTTGTTTCAGTCGGCGTGCGTATGTGTGTGTGTGTGTGTGTGTGTATTTGTGTGTGCTTGAGTACAGCACACATACACGGCCGCAACATCCGTTACAATTTTTTACGACTGCGACTCTGTCTGGCGCTGGTGCTGACGTTGATGTTGATGCTTTTGGCGGCGGCAGCGGCGGCAGCAGCAGCCACTGAGATGCTTTGTGGTTGCTCTATGGCCGCCCTAAGTATGCGTGCGTATGTATGTGTGCCGGAGAGGGGAATGGAGGGAGTAGAGAAGAGGGAAGAGTAGTAGTAGATGCATGGGCATGTCGTATTCAAGGATTGAGTAAATTTTTGTGGGTTGCTTCAGTAATGATATGGAATGTGTTGGAATTTCAAGAAGTTACTAGAGATTTCTTTATTTATTTAAATGAGCAGCCACTGAGATGCCACTGTGTCTGCCCCGCGAATGTCTGTATTTGACTTCATATTTGTGTCTGCGGTTGTTGGGCAGCCAGCCAAGCAGCCAACCAGCCAACCAGCAGCCAGTGAACAACTTCAATTGACTGACTCGCTGGCTGTGACGGACTAACTCACTCTCTGACTGAGCAGCGTGCAGCTAAATGAGCCTGTTATCAGTCTCTGCTGCTCCCCATGCAACTGTCGCTTCGCTCTGTTCGAGTGCTGCCAACTGTATTTATATATGTGTGTCTGTGTGTTGGTGTGTGTGTGACTGTGCGTGTAATTGTAATGGTACAAGAGGCGTCGAGGCAGCAGCCGGAAACGGCAATCGCCTAAGAGAAAACCCACCAGCACCGTCATTGAAATTTATGCGCGCTGTACATTCGTGTAGTGATATTTGTATTGGGAATTAAAACTATGCCCCCGGGACTATAGCCTAATTTTTGGCACTGTGCGTTTTGGCTCTTCATTTATGGCACGCCCCATCCACGCTGGATAATACCTCCTCCTGGTTTCCTGCCTGTTTGCCTGTCAGACTGTCAGACTGTCTTCCCGTCTGTCTGTCTGTCTGGCTGTCTTCTCGTTGCCGGTTTTACTTTTCATTGCTCTTGTTGCCGTGTAATTAAAATAAAGGCGTGGAGTAATTGCTGAGGTCAGTGAGCAGCAGCAGTCGGCGAGTACTTTGCAACGTACTCCTACATAATGCTAACTAAGCGCACAGCGCAACGCTGAAATTAACACTTTTTTTTCCTGCCAGCTACTCGGTTTTTGGGTGTGTATTTTTTCCCTCGTTTTTTTTTTTTTATTTTATTTTATTTTTTTCTGTTTTGCCTGGTCAGTGTATTCTTTGGAGCTGGCCCTGAATTACCGAATCGCAGATAAAATTCTCAGTTTAACACTTTGTTAAAATGCTGCCCCAAATGCCATGCGGTGCGGCCCTTCCGCCCATAAAATGTGCCCACTCTCCATTAAATGGGCAAGTCTAGCCTTGGGTCAAACTAGCTGGCCTTTTTTTTTGGCATCGCATCGACTTGGTCTTGGTCTTGGAATTGGAATTGGAATTGAAATTGCTGCCGAGCCACAGTACCACAGAGTACCTTCAGCCATGCCATTGCCCCTCCTGCACTCTCGGCAAATTTCATTTACAGCCCATCAATAGAGCATGGCATTTATACCCGAAATATCCATGTTAATTGGCGTAGCCCCATGCACACAAGATTTACAAATAGTAAAGCCAACTTTAACAAGTCCTAATTGGCCGACAGGATATCGAGCAAGCTGCTGCTGCTGCTTGCAATCGCTCACAAATTATGAAAAGTGATTTGTGCAGAACATCTCATAACTGACTAGTTTGTTCTTACTCCTCTTTTTATTACTTCAATTCCAATTGGGTTTTTGTTACTCGGAGCTACAGACAGATTCAAATGTGCACGTCAAACCGGTTGAAATTGGGAGCATCGACTGTCTGGCAGCAAAAGGTAAATCGATGTGGAATCTATTGATGCAATGGGATAGGCTAATCAGGTGATTTATGGAATGTTGTTATTTATACAAGTATAGTAGAATCCGAACGGACAATGCGACGTTAATTCTGATCCCCAGACAAACTTATATGAGTAAACTTATATAGGTATAGCGTCATACGATTATAGCCGGATTCCACTGTATATATAGGATATGTAATATTTAGGACATGGTGTACATAGTATATAGGACATATAATATATATAGCACCTTAATATTTGTACAAAGAATTTAGAAAGAACAAGAGATTCTTATAAATATTCAATATTCCAAAATTGATTATTTTACAAATATTTTATACTTTTCGATTCGTTTCTAAACAATCAAACAACAAGTAAAGAAATAAATTTAAAATAAATTTAAAAATAAATAATCAATTTAAAAAAAAACAAGTAAGAACGTTGCAGTCGGGCGATACCGATTGCAGAAGACTCATTCACAGCCCAAACGCTGTCAACCAGAGTATATAGTGCAATTTTCAAGTCTAGTGCGCAACAAAAAACAGGGCATGATCCCATTTAAAATGGGAAAATCATCGATAGCTATTGCTATGATCATTGCATAATTGCATTCAAATTACATGCATATGTATATAATTTATACAATTTTGACTTTTAATAATATACATGTATTTATATCCATATATTGGATACCGGCTTCAAGCTAGCAGCAGATCANGGCGCGGACCTACATACCAAATTTCAGCTTTCTAGCTCTTCAACAAACATGATTTCTGGTATATCGGAAAATGCATTTTCCGATTTGCCACGCCCCTAGTGGGCGGATCGGGAAAATTTTAACACTTTATAAATCGGAGATATACACGAGTATGTGTTCCAAATTTCAAGTCTCTAGCTTCAATAGCGCCGAAATAGATTGCGTTCATACGGACAGACGGACAGACGGACAGACGGACAGACGGACAGACGGACGGACAGCAAGACGGACATTGCACAAAACCAATATACTCATTTCACTTTCGTGAATGAGTCTAATAAATAAATTTAAGAAAAACAAGAAGAACAGAAGAAAACTCGAACCAACTTCAAATTACTACTCAAAGCATTTCAACTCTTCTAGCTATTTCACAAATTTGTATTCTCTAAATCTCATACTCTACATTATTTATTATTCTATTCTTACATCATTTATTAATACTACTACAATTAATGTTTAATAGTTAAGCATTCAGATTGCGTTTACTAAGAGTACAATAGATGTATTCGCTATTGTATTCACTTGAGGTAAATTACTTCATTAGCATTTTGGTTCGCTGATTAGCTCGCAAACAATCAACTGCATAACTGTATAACAAACAATTAAACAGTTTCGTAAACAGCCTTCAATCAACTTTGCGGCAATGAACTATTCATAATATCAAAACTAAGTTTGCAAACTTTTTAATCCCGAGAAATCAACAGTGGTTGACTAAACGAAACAATAGATAATTCAATAGAGCTCCTCATTAGCTCAGATTTCAATTGTGGCAAGTGTTGCGTAAACTATGTAACTAATAGGATTAACTGCAATATCACATTGCAGTACTTCAGATTAAAATGACATCTATACTATTGTTCTCCTCAGTGCTTTAGTTGAACACATTTGAGAGCCTATTAAACAGTTTTAACATTATCATTTGTGGCCTTGAATTAGCTAAATTACAAAATACCTGGTAAGGGACCGCTGGATGCCCAGCGGAGCAGCAACATCTGCAGTCGACCTGACGATTGTGTAAGGGAAGGAGGGGAAATGAGAATGGGAATGAGAATGAGAATGGTCGCTGTTGAAGTGCCCAACTGCTAACTAAGCCAAATTGTACGCTCAAGTGCCATAAAGCCATAAAGTAATCAAAGTTGATATCAAAGTACCAAACTGCTAACTTATGCTCTCATGTATTCAATTAGGACAGATTTCAAATGGGGCTGTCCTCGTTCATTTTGAAAGAATTAAGCACTTTTGTGGGGCGCAGCTGCTAAGAAAATACCGCAGCTCCAAAAACCAGTTTCAGCTGCAGCTCCTGGTCTGCAGGTCGCCCTTAGCACAACTTTCAACAACTTCCTATGCTCAAAGTTTCCACAAATTAGTTATGCAAATTATGTGAGTCGCCTCTACCTCAGCGGCAGCAGTCAACCGCCAGTTACAACAACAACAATGGCGGCAACAACAACAACAACAACAACAAGAATTACGACAAGAACAACAACAACTTTGACGCTGGCTGTTAGAAATCCGTATTTAAAACAATGAAGACTCTGTCCATCTTTCCATCTCCCCATCTTTCCATCCGCCACCCAAACATGGCCCTAAACTCAAAACTCAATCCTCAGCCCGATTAGGGCGCATAACAAAGCAGAATTTGTGTAAGTTCCTATTTAACATGCTTTATGCATTCCTCAATTATAAATAGATTAAAGTCCAAAATAGAGTAAAGTTAAATGTTAACTTTCCGGCCGAGCCGGACACCATTCACAAAGCAATTAACGCGCCCCAAGGAAGCAACGCCAGCGGCAAGGACGCCGCCAAGGGTCTGCGGGCAACAGCGGGGGCCAAGGGCCAAGGGCCAAGAGCCAACGGCGACGCCTAAGCAGAACTCAATTTAACTGACTGCCAACTTTCACAATCACTGCCCATCATCAATTTCAGATTTTGCTGTATGTTTTATGTAGTAGCTGAAGAAGAGGCCACGCCATTCAATTCCTCACTCATTCACTCAGTCAGTCRGGCAGTGAGGCAGTCAGTCAGTCAATCAGCTAGTCGGATTGGGGAAAAAAGTGAAAACAATGCCGAAACAGCCAACTCGCAAATGGCTGTGAATGGTTGCCCAGGGAAGCGACCGTCAGAGAGCCCGAAAGTGTTTCAGTGTGTGTGTGTGTGTGTGTGTGTGTGTGTGCGAGGGTGTGTTGATCTGTGTGTCTTGGTGTGTGTTTGCTTAAGCGTAAGTCTCGCACCGCCCCTGGCACCACCTTGCACTAAGCTTAAACCACACAACAATGGCAGCCAGATAAAACAGCGAACGGACAAAAAAGGGTTTGCCGTTGAGCAACGTCTGCCTGGTTGCGTCTTAAAGGATTGCTCAAGTTTTTGGTAACCAATATGTAAATGTGCGTGCTGTGATTAAGCACAATGGACCTGATCAAACCTTGCCAAGAAAACATAGACACACAAACAGACAGACAGACAGAAAAAGAGAAAGAGGGAGAGAGAGGATGAGAGGGTGAGAGAAGGACAGACAGACAAGTCTTTGCTTAACCTAAACCGAAAACCCAAGCCCAAACCCAAACCCAATCTGAAACCTAAACCTAAACCGAAATCTAACCACAATTTGAAGAGCACAAAATGTGAAACCAAAACAAACTGAAAAACGCAGCCGAGTCGATGGCTGGACAAGGCCAACTTTACACACCTCAAGTGTTTGTTTAGGCTGCCAAAAGTCGGACCGCATTGAGGTGGTAGTGGAGCATTCGCCATGACCATTTGCTGTCTTGTTGTTTTTGGCCAGTGGCTACATAAATCTTGTCTTGCCAAACAAAGGCTCGCACCAGAGTTAGCGATATGCCACCTCAGAGCGATGCTCCGCCCAGCTGCCCCAATAAGTGGCGCTAAAGACAATGCCGGACGAGTCGTCGTCCGTCGGCAACAACCGAAACTATTAGTGAAGCGCCTTCGACTTTGAGGCCTCGTCCCGAACCCATATCCGCCAGCAGCTTGCAAGATGTGTGCGAATTTTTAAGGAGCACGCACATAAATTGCAACCGCCAGGTAAGCAATGCTGCCACAGTGTATGGTTGTGCAGGTGTGTATAGGTGTGTGGGGGTGTAGGGGTGTAGGTGTGTAGGTGTGTCGGGCGCCTTGATGTATCACACAAACAGACACAAATGTGTTTATGCTGTGGGATGGAGGGAATGGAGGCGTCTGCAAGATTCGCTTCTTATGGGCATCAGCCGCGTTCCGGCCGTAATAAAAACTAAAATCCGCACAACAATATGTGCGGGGATAATGCCATTTCCGTTTTATGTGAAATCCTCTCTCAGTAGTCCGTGTCCGCATATTCGCATATCTGTCGCCCCCTGCGCCCACAACTCGCTCACATGTGTGTGGGTGTGTGTGTGTGTGTGTGCGGGGCTTCAGCTCGAAGGTGTGCGCTTTCCCTCGGCCTTGGCCAATGGGTTCGCTACACAGTGCCGAAATAGGAGTACGGTCGAAAAACTTTTTTTCGTTATGGCACTTTTGGAATGCGGATGGATGGCTAAATGGATGGGCCAGTTTTTATGGATTCGCCCGCCCGTTCAGGTTAGGCGCAATAGACACCATTGAGGAGCCTAGACTGCATGCCGCTAAATAAAAGCTTTTAAAATAGCAACAGCAAGAGCAGATGGTGATGATGATGTGACGATGATGATGATGATGTTGATAAAGAGAGCAGATTATAGCTATATCAAAGCATACCAAATTACGAAAACAACTATTACCGTTACTTTTATTGTTATTTACAATTGGTAATTATACAAATTTATAATTATGATATTCGGAGAAATTTTTTGAAAACACAGTTACTTTTTCTTATCAAAGTCTATATTATCGGGATCATAAGTTCGATCAAATTTATTTATTTAAAATAAATGAGTTCATTTCTGAGAGGAATCTAAAATTTATTTTATTTATATTTTTCAATAGGAATTTTAAGCGTTTTTACTGTTGCAGAAGCTCAAATTTAATTATATAAAATCAGTAAATAATAAAGTGGCAAATATAAATATATATATTTTCAAATTAAACATTTCGTTAAAATTTTGCATTTAACTTATTTTCTATTTTAATTATTCAATAATTGAATGCAATGCATAATTTTTGTAAAAATAATAAATTGCAATTAATGTTGGCAAAACTATTTACATAAAATGATTTATGAAATAAATTAATGCTTATAGTAAATAAACATGCATAGTTCGCTTAATTGTGTATAATGAGTTGAAATATTATTATAATTTATCGCATTGATTTGTATAGTTGAAATATGACATGTTAGCAGCTTTTCAAAGAGAATAATACCATATAAATGATATATAATACTAGTATTTATTTGAACTATTTTCAATAATTCTGAATGGAATAAACTCAGAAATGCTGTCTATATGAACTTTTCATTTTATCGAAAACAAATTGTGTGTAAAATTGAGTGAAAGTATTTAAAATTGTAGCAAATAGTTTAGTGAGAAATTTATGATTATTCACAGTTATTTCTTCAGTTGCTGCAGAGCTTATTTGTCAGTTCCCGCGTGGGATTATAACTACTGCTCATTTGCAACATTGTGGACTCATAGTTGTAATCAACATCAAATGGAAGCCTTGGCAACGCCATAATCGCTCAGCTCTGCCATAATCGAGTGCAAAATGTAAATGTGGCGCTGTTTTTGCTCAGTGTGCGAGGCGAGCGCCAAGATGAAACAAACGTGCATCTTCGAGTGGCAAAAAGCGCAGCGCTGGCGTGCGAGACGGCAGCAAATGTAGAAAACAGAAACGGAAGAAGAAATACCATAACTAAATCCATTGCCATACCCAAATCCGAGGCAAAGTCTGCGATGCAAATAGTAGAGATTATGGGGCTGCCGCTGCTGCAGATGAATAAGAACAAGAGCAAGGCAGCCGCCGTGCTGGTGTTGGATGAGTTTCTATTCGCTGCTTGGGCAGCGTGCAAGCTTCAGTAGGTGTTTACAGTAAGTCGCTACGTGTGTGTATATATATGTGTGTGTGTGTGAGTGTGAGCATGTAGCAACGTGGCTATGTGTGGCACAATAAATCTTACAAGGGTGCCGAATGGCCGGGCCCAGCCCCGGGTCCGCGCACGGTACGATGTCGAAGCCAATGCTGGAATAGAGCTGCGACCGAGTGCCGCCAGTGAAAACCAAAACCAAATAAAACTGACATTATGCGAAAAGCGAAAGCCATAACTAAAAGTTGGGCTAACGTGGCATGATGGAGCAGCACTAAGCTTGATACCGGCGTAAAAAGGGGCGGACAGAAAAAAAAAAAACAAAAAAAAAAAAGAAATAGCAAAATAGAAATGATAGCCGAGATATCCAGCTGGAGCTGAGTTAGGAAGTCAAAGCGAAGTTAAAGAGGCTATGCGGGCGCATCATGTGATCGCCCGCAAACGGAAATCGAGCTTTGGCCCTTACCTGACTGTGGGAGCCTGCGTTAGTTCAACTTGCAGCAAGTTATGCAAATGTCCTCAGTTGCCACCAATTCACTGCTGCTGCTGTTGCTGGTGCTGTTTGTTGTTGCATTTGCTGATGTTGCTGTTGGTGGTGCTGCTTGTGTTGGTGGTGTTGGTGGTGCTATCAATCGAGAACAGCGACGTTGACGCTGGCTGTGTCGTGTGCTAATGACATTTGCTTTGATTGCGACCAGAACTTCAAACTGTCATTTTCACTGGCTGAGAATTATTTCATCTACTTGTCGTGTTGTTGCCGCTGTTGTTATTGTTATTGTCCTTGTGCAACTGTGGAGCATTTGCTGTGGCGTCTGTCTGTTTATTTAATTTGCATGCAATTTTCAATTTTTATGCCAAATACTTTGAATTGACAGCAAACGACGCGCGCACACACACACACACACACACTCACACACACACTCTTTTCGTCCATGTACAATAGAAATTGAATTGCAAAATTTGTTTGCCAGTCAATCGGCGGCGGAGCAGATAGAGTTTGTCTACTTGAGGGGGGGCAAGGGACGGCCTGCAGAGACAGCAGCGGCAAAGTGCGCCACGTTCATGGCAATGTCACAGCCACAGCCTGAAGAAATCGCACAATTTGGCGGCGAAAATGTCAAGTATTCTGAATGCCACGACCGGGTCGTCTAGTAGGACGAGCACGACTGTCACCACAATGGGCGCCTGCAACAACAATGATGCCGGCAAATATGCACACACACATACACATACGCATACACAGACATAAGCACTCACTCACCAATACACTTGCACACACAAACACTGCAATTCACATAAACTGAATTAGAGTCAAGTCGAAACATATATATTGAAAGCGAATGAGTCAGTCGTAGGGCTTTCAAATTTACGCAATTCGCATAAAAAAACGTCTGATATAAACAGAGGCGCGAAATCGAGACACGTTGTCGCTGCGGTCAACTGGCTGCTGCCTAAAGGTTGGCTTGGTTGTTCCGCTAATGCGACCGACTGCAACGACGAACGCTTCGAAACTGAAACACAAGCGGAATCCTGCAAGCCTCAAAGGATGCTGAACAAAGCGCCAAGCGAGGCCGACGACGACAACAAAACCCGATGCTGTTGCCGAACCAAACGATGCTGGTAGATGCTGCTGCTGCCGCTGCTGCTGCTGCGGCCCTAAGAGAGTGACAAAGCGGCCAAAAGAGAGGGCAAGCGAGCGTGAGCGCCAGAAAGCAGCTGTTGGGATGCTGGCGCTCTCTACAGTTGGCGACGGCAGTGACTAACGTGCGACTTCGTTAAATTTCTGCGGCGACAGCACACAAAACGGATTCGGAAGCGGAAGTAGCAAGTAAGCGAGCGAACGAACGAGCGCCAAGGGAGGGTGGGCTGATGCTATAGATGATGCTGTAGCTCAAGTTGAAGCTGAAGCTGAAGCTGAAGCTGATGCTGATGCTGCTGCTGTGCAATCAGAAAGTAGGCGAAGTAACGCGAAGTAGCTGCCTCCAGTCGAGTGGCCGTCGGCTGCGGGGCACGCGAAGAAGCATGAGCCATGGGAGCGAGGGGGCATGGGGTCGGGTGGTAGTTAGAAAGTGGGTGGACTGGAGTGGCTGGTCTGGGTGTGCGGCATCAATATTCACATTCGCACTTGTGCGAGTATTTTCTGATTTGCCGCAATCGCATTGCCAACAATCTTTACAAGAGCAACAACAACAACAACAACAACGTGGACATATAGAACAAATTTTCAACCGGATGCAGAGCAAATCTTTTTTGCGCCGGATACTAACGGTGTCTTCGACAGAGCCAAACACGGCAGCACATCCTTGCACCCATAGACACATGCAGGTGCGCCTGTTTCTCTATATCGATAACTAATAATGGCATTACATTTATGTTGGCCAAACACAGCCTCCTGCCGTCTGCCGTCTGTCGTCTGTCGTCTGCCTCCTGCTTGTTTACCCTGCTAGAGGTAGAGCGTTTGGCTCGTTAGTCCTTTGGCTGCAGCCTCGCACAATATTTCAGTTTTTAGTTTTCCGTTCTCACTGCTCGCTGTCCCATTTCCTCCTCTCGTGTTCGTCTCTTCTCTGAGCAGTTGTTGTTGTTTTTGTGTTGTCTGTTTTTGTTAGTTTCTGCAATTGCATTCGTCCTTTGCCCACAGACACACACACACACACCCACGGACACACACATACAGACACCAGCAACTAATTAGAAACACTTGCCATACGCTGCAGCTGCTATAGCCAGTGTTTTTGTGTGCAGCTCATTCCGGGAATGGGTGTGAGCGATGAGTGAGCAGGTTGAACTGGAGTGGAATGGGGGATTGGCAATTGCTTAGTTGATTTTCATTGACTGCCCTTTGGCCGTGTGGACAGATATTGTAGTTGTTCGCTGTCATTAATTGGCTGTTGGTTGTTGTTGTCATTTCCTTTTAGTGACAGCTCAAAATGATCTCACCGTGGATAGAGGCTGCGCATTTGGCTAATGCAACTGACTTCACTGAGATTATCTTTTAATGCCATAAAGAGCTTTGCATGACTTTTAATTGAGTCTCGTTTTTGCATCTGACATTATTAATTATTGATGCTGCCTTTCTAATAAAAGTCCTTACTTCATTCGCTTCACTCATGCAGCTCATAATTAGGTTACGATTCACCAGGCATTATTAATTACCCGTCAGCCCGGTGCAGTTGAGTGATACTCTAGGTTCTCTAATAAAAGTCTTGGCCCCACTACTTCATTTCCTCGCCCCACGCGCGCTGCTCATAATCAGCTTCCGACTTGGAAATTTCAAAGGCTTTCGCAAACTTAACGGCTTCCGGTCTCTGGTCTGGTCTGGTTTTGTCGGACCGCTTTCTTATTCACAAATATCAAAGTTCTTCAATCGAGAAGACTTCCGCTTTTTACAGCCACATATTGCAGTTCTGGCCCATGGTGCACTGCTGGCTCCGCTCGGAGTGGCCCCAAGCCAGACCTAGCACGAACATCGCCACAACCACAGCCACAGCCCCACATACACAAACACAAGCGCACACAAACAGGACATTGAATTTGTTTTGGGTTTTGATTTTTCGATTTAAAATTGTCCGTTTCAATGGCAATGGTCTGCCCAGAGCCAGCTGGGCAACGGGTCGACTGGTCAACTGGTCGACTGGTCGCCTGGTCGACTGGTCGACTGGTCGCTTGGTCTAGTTGTCTAGTGGGCGATTGTTTTTGCTCAAGTTGAGGTGTTGCTTTTTACACATTTATGTTGGATGCTGCACTTCTCGCCGCACATGATATTTCATTGACAAAATATTTAAGAGCTCTTCCATTCGACTCTCAGCGCTCAGCTCTCAGTCTTAGTTATATGTTATAAGCTATGCAATAAAGTAATTAAGTTGTATGCCTGCCACACCCTCACTCGCCCACACTCTGTGTGCAAATCTAACTATAAATTTGAGTTTGATGCCAATATTTGCTGTCTCAATTTACGTAATTGGGAAATTGTATTTGGATTCTCCCTAAATTTATCTAATTTTCAAATGAAATACTTTTCGAAGCCAATTGCTGCCATGCCAAACTTATCAATATTATTTGACTTGTATATTGATATTGAAATTGTTAATCTATAAAACTTTTGAGGCACAAATTTCCGTTATTCATTCATACAAAGCAGCAGCAGCCAGAACAATAAGACGATATTCGCTTTAAATGTACCCGAACCCAAAGCTTCTGAGTAATCCGATTAATCTGCCCAATCAACGCCATGATAATCCATTCGGTACCTATCTCGCGGCTGAAACAAGTAAACTGATTAGTAAACTGATTATGAAAGTGTAATCTAATTATACAGTTTGATTGCAAAGTTAATTTCATCGGATTACATTGCAGGCAAAAAAACATCGAAATAAAGTTTTGCATGTTTTTGATTAAGTTTCACATATGCAATTCATGCATTTTATTATATTTACATATTTCATTTGAAAGTTGTACTGCTGGAATTTCTTGCACAATTTCGATTTTTTTTTTTTATCTTTTTAACCTGATCCCATTAAATATAAGAAATCCGGATATATAATATAT